TGTGTGTGTGTGTGAGTGTGTGTGAGTGTGTGTGTGTGTGTGTTTGAGTGTGTGTGTGCGTGTCTGAGTGTGTGTGTCTCTGTGAGTGAGTGTGTGTGTGTGTGTGTCTGTGAGTGTGTGTGTCTGTGAGTGTGTGTCTGTGTGTGTGTGTTTGTGTGTGAGTGTGTGTGTCTGTGAGTGTGTGTGTGTGTGTGTGTGTCTCACTCACTCACAGACAGACACACACACACACACACACACACACACAGGCCATAGCCTGTGTCATTCAGAGAGTAAGAGAGAGAGGACAGCAGAAAGAAAAGCGAGCTGATTGTTTCCAGACTGTGGTTTGTGTGCCAGTGAAACCACACTGTGTGCTGCTTGTGTATCATAAACTGTTTTTCTTATTAACCCATAATGACTCCAGCACATGGTGACCTCTGACCCCATGTGTGTTGCTGACATGCAGCGTACAGTATTTGACAAATGGCTCAGAGAAACTGCAGAAACAGAAGAAGCTGTGAAATACAGTAAATCACTATAATGTTACACTGATTGTAATGTGACACTTTGTGTGTGTGTGTGTGAGAGAGAGAGAGAGAGAGAGAGAGAGATGAAACATCTGGAGAGTCAGTGTGTGTGTGTGTGAGTTCCCACAGAGCAGCAAAAAACCTACAAATCAGAAAAAAAAGAAAGAAATGTGTTTTCATTTCTTTGGCTTGAGGTGAGCTGCTCATTACATCATCACCACAGGAGGCCCTGACACACGGTCGTTGTGATTTTGCCAAGTAAGACATGTTCCTGGATCAACATTACGGTCCAAAAATACAGACTTAACCCAATACCCACCCCTAAACCTAACCTTACTCATAATTTATTCCTGAAATCAGTGAAATGATAGCTGATTAACAAGGGTGTGGAAGCGCCTAATCCTGATTGTAAGCCTAAAACTGACATTTCCTGAAAAGTAATTTCTCAATTCTGATTGGTTGATTGGAATGATGTTCCAGGATGTTGTACGTGGTCAAATCACGTTCACCCCTGACACACACACACACACTGTACACTACTAATACTACTACACTAATACTACTGTCAGACTACATTGTGCTAACTGTAAAGGCGGGATAATGGTATGGGGCTGTTTTTCAAGGGTTGTGTTGGGTCACTGGCTTCCAGTAAATGAAAATCTTAATGCTTCAGCATATCAAGACATTTTGGACAATGCTGTGCTTCCAGCTTTGTGGGATCAGTTTGAAGAAGACCCTATTTTATTCCAGCAGGACTGTGACACAGTGCACAAGGCAAGGTCCATAAAGATCAGTTTGGTGATAAACTAACGCTGATAAACAACGATGTCCTTCCTGAAAGAGATCAGCCTGTTGGTGAAGAAGCATTATAAAACGGAGAGTTGCGGTGCTTGATTCTGATTGGCTGAGCCGCGTTCGAAGCTGTTGTAAATTACTCTACAAAGTAACATACACCTTTGTTTACGTTTGTGTGTTGCTCGGTGTGACGGATGTGGTCTTCAACTGTTTCTGAGGAACTAGACTTGGACGAACACCACTGAGATCCGATAAGACACCGCTCTGTACAACAGACTCAATCTTTGTCCAAACCCCCCTCCAATAAAGGCTCGGACACAATGCTGGCTGGTATGAATCTTTCTTTTCTTTACTGCAGGCTGTAAAATGAAATAAATCACCCCTTTAGTGGTTATTTTGCTGCAGACATAAGTGACCCACAGCGTGCAGTACACATTGCAACTGCTGTGTTGCGTCATCTCCTGTCTTACCGAACATTTTATCTGCCTGCAGTTCTCACACAAACCACACGAGGGCATCAGTACAACATGAAATTAACCGCTGCTGAATTCATAAGAATTCACAATAAAACTAAATAAAACCACGGTTGAGTAGCTGGGTACAAAATGCTGATAATAGTTAACCATCCCAAGGAAGGATCTTATGCACCTCTGAGACGGTGTAACTCCATCAGCCTCCATCAGATCCAAGCTGGTCATTTTGGATATACTCTCAACCTTACTTGGATCTGTGGATACCCCAAACTCATCAATCACATGTCCAAGAAATCGCACAGATTTCCTAAGGAAATTACATTTCTTGGGATCAAGTTTCAGATTGTGCGTTCTCAACCGACTGAATATCATCTCAAGACGGGTCAATGCTGTCGTTTCGTCAGGTCCAAATACAATTAAGTCATCCAAATAACATAACAGGCTTAGAAAGTTTTGGTCCCCAAAAATACTTGTCATCATGCGCATAAAACTCCCCGGACTATTACAAAGCCCTTGAGGAAGCCGATTGTACTCATATAAGCCCATAGGTGTCGTAAAGGCAGAGTACTTTCGGTCATCCTCATATAAAGGCATATTGTAAAAGCCGGAGGTCAAGTCCATCGTACTGAATAGTGAATTCCCGCCTACCACAGCCAAACAGTCGGCCTGGTGAGGTAACGGATGTAACGGATGTGATGTCCTTTTGTTTAACCACCGAAAATCCGTACACAAGCGTAAATCACCGTTCTTTTTCCTCTTTTTCCAAATTCTGTGATTCCGCATTGACACAACCTTTTGTCCAGACATAGTGTACAACAGTCTACTCACAGGCTTGATGAAACGTCCAAAACGAGACCTGCGCACAATAAAGGTCCCAGTGTCAGAAACTGGTACATCATCAGCATCAACCTTGGAAACATCAGCTGAAGGATTTGAAATCACAGAATGTTCAAGACTCACAGATTCGACCCCAGAATTCAAACTTCCAGTAATACTTGAACTATTGGACCGTTCAGATTGTGGACTTACTGACACATTGCTCAAAGACACAACTGATCTCAGCTGTGAACATTTATCAGGCAACCCAGAAACCCAATCAGATGTTCTAGCACAACTGTCAGTTGTAGCACATGAGACATTAGCATCAAGAGACAAACCATCATCAGGCCTAACAGACACTGAATCCTCATGAGTCTCTGCCAACCCACCATCCCTGACACATTGCCTAGATTTCGAAACGTCAACACCCAAACTCGCCATAGATGCTGAACTACTGGTTTTGTCACCTGAATCAGTCACAGCCGAAGATGAAACCGTATCGGATACTGCACTCTCTGCTTTGTCCAGTGGCAAAAAGTTCACAGGTAGCAAAAGGTTGCGATGCACAACCTTTTCCTGACCAGTGCTCGTATCCCTTATCTTGAAAATATGAGTGTCGACATTTCTATCCACCACGACAAAGACGGCGGACATCCACCTGTCAGCTAGCTTCCGCTTGCCTCTTCCAGACTTGTTTGCTAGAAGAACACGATCACCAACATCAATGTCCTGACCTTTGACTCTCCTGTTGTAGATCACTGCATGCCTGGACTGTTCCTTCGAAGCATGCACCTGAGCTACTGACAAGGCCTCCTCCAGATCTTTCAAAAGAGAAGCCACATACTTGTCGTAACAAGTCACAGTGTGATCCTCCAGAACAGAGTAGAAAATTATGTCTACCGGAAGGCGAGGAACTCTACCGAACATGAGATAAAACGGAGCATAGCCAGTCGTCTCATGAACAGTACAATTATACAAGAAAGTCAAAGATTGCAGTTGTCTTGGCCAATTACGCTTTGCATCTGGAGCCAATACGCGGATCATGTTCCCCAGGGTCCTATTAAATCGCTCTACACTACCATTCCCCATAGGATGGTAGGGAGTTGTATGCGATTTTTGTACTCCAGACACCTGAAGAAGCTCAGTAATCAGCTGGCCTTCGAAGCTTGCCCCCTGATCACTGTGTATGCGTTCAGGAAACCCAAACACACAAAAGTATTTGTCCCACAAGACACGTGCCACCTGTTTAGCTGACTGATCTTTGCATTGAAACGCTTGCGCCAACCTGGTAAAGTGATCTGTGATCACTAAGACATCAACTGACTTGTTGTTATGATCTTCAGCAGACCAAAAATCAATGCATACTAACTGCAATGGTCTGCTGGTCACAATATTTTCTAAGGGTGCTCGACCCTCAGGCTCAGCGGTTTTACTGAAAACACACCTCTGACAGTGTCGTACATGCTCTCTAATATCTCTGTCAAGGCTCAGCCAAAAGAAACGACGTCTCGCTAGACCCAAACTCCTAGACTGCCCCTGATGACCCGCATGATCGTGAATACCCCTCAACACCTCCAACTGAAGTGACTCAGGGACTACGTACTGGAACCGCTTACCCTTAGACAAATGATCATGGGAAATCCGGTAGAGAATCCCGTTTCTCACAACAAATTTCTCCCAATGCTTAATGTATCTAAGGACCCCAACAGGTTCCTTTGCTCTTTCACGCCTGCTTGGCTTGCGATGTCTTTCCACATAATGAATAACCCTAGACAGCACACTATCAGAGAGCTGCTTTTCACGCAGATCACGCTCTGAATATGTAGGCTGAATCTCTGATTCAGAAACCATCTGAGGAAGATGATTCAAAACAGACAAAGCACGAAGTCTTGCACCATCTTCCCACATCCTTTGTGAGTCAAGCACGGCCATTACATCCTCCTTATCTAAGGAAGTCCATGCAATGCTTGCCGAATTACTGTGCAAGGGACCACTGCTAGAAACACCCTGCTTTCCTTCAGACCCACAAGACCACCGAAAAGCATCCTGAACTGAGCCAGCAGAAACTTCCTGTACTTCAGACAAAAGTTTGTCATATTTTTCACGTAACAGTCTAGAGCCGATGTTGGATTTCACGAATGGAACCCTACTCAAAGCGTCAGCCACAACATTCTGCGAACCTGGTACATACTTGATGTCAAAATTGTACGCCGCAAGTTTGGCCACCCACCGCTGCTCACAACAATCAAGCTTAGGTTTGGACAGAATGTGGGTGAGCGGGTTGTTATCGGTCCATACTGTAAATACATGACCTTTCAGCCAATGACTGAACTTTTCACATACCGCCCATTTTAACGCTAAAAACTCTAAGCGATGTGCCGGATAATTTCGCTGCGATGGAGAAAGCGACTTACTGGCAAACGCTATAGGTCTGGCTTTAGTGTCACCTGCCTGAACTTGAGACAGAACAGCTCCAATGCCGTCTAAGGAAGCGTCAGTCGAAAGCACAAAGGGGCGGCTGAAGACTGGATGAGCTAAGATAACTGCTTCTATCATGGCTGTCTTAAGGTTCTCAAATGCCAGCTGCGTCTCAGGTGTCCAATCAGCTACAGTCAATTTCCTTAATGCACAGTTTCCTTTATTTGCACGACCTCTTTTGGTCCTCTTTTTCTGACCTTTCAATAGATCAAAAAGGGGTTTGGCCACGGTTGAGTAGTTGGGTACAAAATGCTGATAATAGTTAACCATCCCAAGGAAGGATCTTATGCGCCTCTGAGACGGTGTAACTCCATCAGCCTCCATCAGATCCAAGCTGGTCATTTTGGATATACTCTCAACCTTACTTGGATCTGTGGATACCCCAGACTCATCAATCACATGTCCAAGAAATCGCACTGATTTCCTAAGGAAATTACATTTCTTGGGAGCAAGTTTCAGATTGTGCGTTCTCAACCGACTGAATATCATCTCAAGACGGGTCAATGCTGTCGTTTCGTCAGGTCCAAATACAATTAAGTCATCCAAATAACATAACAGGCTTAGAAAGTTTTGGTCCCCAAAAATACTTGTCATCATGCGCATAAAACTCCCCGGACTATTACAAAGCCCTTGAGGAAGCCGATTGTACTCATATAAGCCCATAGGTGTCGTAAAGGCAGAGTACTTTCGGTCATCCTCATATAAAGGCATATTGTAAAAGCCGGAGGTCAAGTCCATCGTACTGAATAGTGAATTCCCGCCTACCACAGCCAAACAGTCGGCCTGGTGAGGTAACGGATGTGCATCCTTCAATGTCCTTTTGTTTAACCACCGAAAATCCATACACAAGCGTAAATCGTCGTTCTTTTTCCAAACAAGGACTAAAGGAGACGCAAACTCACTAGTCGATTTGCGAATAATCTCCTTCTCCTCCATTTCATTCAAAACACGACGCAACACCTGATACTGTCTGGGCGGCACTCGCCGGTACGGAAGTCGGAAAGGTCTCGTGTCTGAAAGATGAATCCTATGGACAAATCCAGTAGCATTACCACAATCCAAATGATGACGTGAAAAGACATCATTGTACTGCAAGATTGTATCTATGAATTTTAGTCTACAATGACAGACACATCACAGGAATCCAAATCATGCCCCTCTAGACCAACTGACCTTAGCTTCTCAGCAACAGACCTCAGATCAGTGGACATACTATCCTCTGGCTGAGTCTGTTGCGTCTGAGAAAGCAGGTTCCCATCATCCAAATCTTCGAGGGCAATACCTGGAAACAAATCGGCTATCTTGGCATTACGTCTCAGCATAACAGGTTTGTCCCAGGTATTAATTAACTTCAACAGAACCCACCTGTCCCCCCATAGGTGTGTGACGAGCCTGGCCACGAGAATCCCTTTAGGTGCCGACCGCGAACTTGTAGGCTCTGTCAACACAGCACTACCTGGAGACACTTCCGTGTGTTTAGGCAACCTACCCCACACAAGGTACTCACGACCAGGCTCCAGACAAATTGCTGAATTACATCTCACAGTGCCAATCTTGTCAGGCACCCCATCACCCCTCCAGCGATTCAAACCTGCAAGCATAGACAGGAAGGCCTCAGACATAGGATCATTACAAACATGAGGAGTCGAAACTGCCTTCCAAAACAATTCACATTGCTTTGAACATCTTATGATGTGTTTGATGACATTCGTACCAACAATGAATTCATCATGCTGCCCACTAACAACCAAGGTAGGAACCAACATTTTACATCCATGAATCTCTAGCTCAAGTGTAAGAGTATTCTTCGGTTTTACTCGGCTGCCCCCACAGCCAATTAGCATAACATCTGGGCTGCCTCTACATTGATCACTGATTATTCCAGCATCTAACAATTTCTGAACTCATGTGATTCCTGTTTCCTGGTTCTGTGTTTGAGGGATGTGTAAAACAGGTTTGTCTGCGAGTCTGTAAAGCAGCTTCCTCATTCCTGCTGAGTTTAGTTTCGACACACCTGGCTGTTATTAAAGTGAACACAAAGACCTTGACTAGTTGAATCAGGTGAGTTTAATTAGAAATCAAACTAAACTCTGTAGGAAAGTGACTCTCCTGGACGAGGAATGGGGAACCCTGATGATGAAATGTCTTCTAGATGTCAGACAAACACTCAGAGAATTCAAGAGAAGCAGGACAACAGCCTTAACCTTCTTGGCAGTCAAAGTCTCGTCCCTGGAGTCCGCCTCCTTTTTGGTAGCTGGACAACCTCTTCTAGGAGCCGCCACCAGAACCATTCAAGTCAAGTCACCTTTATCTGTATAGCGCTTTATACAATACTGATTGTGTCAAAGCAGCTTTACTGTGTCAAACAGGGAAATAGTTTGTCAATAATGCAAGAAGACAATAACAGTCATTTTTCAAGTCAGTTCATTGATGATTCAGTGATGTCATCATCCAGTTCAGTTCTCTTCTAATAGTGTCTGTGCAATCAGTCAAGCGTGATCTGGATACAGTCTGGATCCATGTTTATGTCTAACACAGTTGGATCTCTAAACTGCCCCATTAGTATACAGCTGTCAACATATTTTTTAACAATTATAAAATGATAAAAACAAAGCATATTTTGTTATATTTTGACATTTTAGTTATCAAAAAGATGCAAATAAATGTACACAATGTTAAAATTAATAATTCAGACACTGAAATTATCAAAGAACTGTAATACCATCAATTCAAATTAGACAAATAATTTTTATCTAGTACAACACGTTCCGGGATTGATCCCGGGATGGGGACCTAATAACATTGCCGGAATCAGTCCCGGAATACGGCCTGTGTGAACAAAAAAATCACGTGAGCGTGAAGAAATCATTGATCATAAGAAAAAAATTCCACCAAGTGCACGATTACAATTGAAAGAGAGGCAGCGGGCTAGCGTTTTTGACTCGTACATTACACGTCACATCCCGATGTCACATATCTTTACAGGATATGTGTGAATGCACTAACAGATTCCTATTTAATCACTGGCAGTGTGAATTAACCAAAATCAAACGATCCCGGGACAAATCCTGGGACACATTACCCGTGTATTTTATCTGTGTGAAAGGGGCTATAGACTCTCTTGTGGTCATTGCAGCATGGCTGGCCACACTCACAGCAGCGGTCCACCATTTTGCGATCGAGTGATAATGGGCAAATGTGACACCTTCTGAGCTTTCTGGTACCTATTTCTTCGGTGGGGTTCTGTTTCACAAAACCACAGCGTTTCAGTGCACTCTGGGATGCTCGGGGAAGTCTTGGTACCAGCGCTCTTTCCTGCAACCATGGTCTCAGTAGCTGAAGGCCAAGGATCTTGAGGAAAATGCAATGATTTGTTCTCCTCTGTACACTGTATTTGTGGCACAGTTGGTCCATGTGGTCCACAGCACCCTTCGTTTTGTTATAGTCTAGAATGATCACAGGCTTCCCAGACACCTCATCGACATCTTTTTGGTCGTGCATACTGGATAAAAGCACAACGGCCTTGTTCTTTTTTGGCACATAGGACACCATGGCTTACTTTTGGCAAAAACCGAACAGGCTTGATCTCACAGGTCTCCTCTTACAGATATGAAACACAGGCAGAACTTCTGGTAATGTGTTTGCAGAGCAAATCAGCAGCGAGTTTTGCACTTGTAAACCAGTTATCAGTTGTGACATGTACTCCAGAGTTCTGAACTGGCTCTACCAGTTTCTTTACTACACTCTCTGCCAATCCTGTGCATCGCTGATCGCCTTCACAGCCAGTGTGTGGTAGATCATTGAAAGTGTATGCTGTAGCAACATCACACATTAGAAACAGTTTCATGCCGTATTTGTCAGGTTTTTGGGCATGTATTGCCGGAAGCTGCAAAGTCCTCTGAATGGGATGAGCTGCTCACATACGGGCCAACATTGTAATTTTCCCTCCAATTTTCAATGAAGCCATTCCAGAGTGATCTAAATGGAGCAAATTTGTCATTGATTTTTCTTGCCTGACATGTGCCACGCTCATCAAATCTCGTCTAGCTGACATGGTCTCCGCTGACATTCAGGGCTGTAGAGGTCGTCTCTAGCTGCTGATCCATCATCTGATCTGGATGCAGTCTGGATCCATGTTTATGTCTAACACAGTTGGATCTCTAAACTGCCCCATTAGTATACAGCTGTCAACATATTTTTTAACAATTATAAAATGATAAAAACAAAGCATATTTTGTTATATTTTGACATTTTAGTTATCAAAAAGATGCAAATAAATGTACACAATGTTAAAATTAATAATTCAGACACTGAAATTATCAAAGAACTGTGCCTGACATGTGCCACGCTCATCAAATCTCATAAATGACACGATCTGTTCAAACCTACCGATGCTGAATGCAGCTTTGAATATTGGTTTATACAGTTTCTTCAGCTCGTTTCCATGTGCTAGGATCTCTGCCTTTAGACACCATATACATTCTTGCATACTGGCTAGTATTTTCAGTCACCTTGTGCAGATTATCATCATCAATGAAACATGAGAATGCATCACTTTCAGTCAGAACCAGTTTTGCCCTGCTGCAAGGCCCTTCTTTGGTGTGAAGAATATTACATCCTCTTGTCCTGCTTAAAGGAGGGTCAGCTGATAACCAAACAAGTCCATTATTGTTTGTGTAGGACTCTGTCTCATCTGTGGGAACTTGGACGGGTTCGTTTTGAGCTGCTTCTCCATCATCATCGCTGTCGTCTTCAGAGCTAATTTCACCAGTAGTGTCTAGCTCATATTCAGGATCTGATACTTCCAAAACTAACGTTTTCTTCATCTTCAGAATCAATTTGTTCCCTCACAGCTTCGTCATCCGATCCACCATCGAGCGAGGCTAATATCTGATTATGTACTTGTTCAGCTGTAAGTCGCTGAGCCATGACAACTTACGTCTGAGGTAAATTTGATTGATGCCTCATATCATTGTTTGCCAAACATCTAGTGGAATAAAGGTGAATCAGTCGTGGCCAAAAGTTTTGGCAGTGACATATATTTTGTGTTTTGCAAAGTTTGCTGCTTCAGTATTTGTAGATTATTTTCCTGCTGCTGCTGCTCAACTGGAGGTTCATTTTCCAAAATAAAAGATGTCGAAACGTAATTAGCTGCATTTTATTGTCACAATCATTTTTAATTCATTAAAATTAGCAGCGAAGCCTGTTTCCACCACGGGATAAAAAAATAAAGGAAATCATGACTTTTGCGCTGTTTATCTGCTATTTTCAAAGAAACTGTAAGCAGTTCTAACAGTAGAGCAGAGTTATTTTCATTAACTAAAACCAATAAAAAACATTTTTGGGTTACGCTATTTTAAGGCGTCCTTGTTACAGTGTAATTATACATTTACAGTTTTTTAAGATTGCTTACAAACTAAAATTAAACTTTTCCAACAATTAGCAAAACCTTACACTCAAGGAGCAAAACACAAGGCTAGATTTGCACAACTGTAAGCACATTGTCAGCTTCACACTATTTGCAAAACATTACACACAGTGATTTGCAAAACACTAAACACACTTGTATACATCAGACACAGAAGTATATCATGATGTCACTTCCTTGCAATTCCAAAGCACTGACTGTCAAATTACCACACCTATGAGCCAATCTGTTAAACACAGCCATCAGGTGCACAAACACATGATTGCTAAATTGTAGACACACCAATCAGGTTTAAGCACTATAAAAATGCAGCAGGTAGGTTCACCTGCCTTCAACCAAAATGGAAGGAGTCAGAAGAAGAGTGAGGGTGAGAGGAGGAGTACACAGAGGAGGAGAAGGAGGCAGAGGCAGAGGCAGAGGCAGAGGTAGAGGTAGAGGTAGAGGAAGAGCTGAAGCAGGAGGAGAACGTGCACAAAGAAGAAGAGGACCAAACTTATCAAATGACATTCGTGCAACACTAGTGGACCATGTTGTGAACCACGGATTGACGCTGAGGGAGGCTGGACTGAGAGTTCAGCCAAATCTTAGCAGATATACAGTGGCATCTGTCATAAGGACTTTTCGACAGGAAAACAGGTAAAAGAAGATCTGTCTACAGTTACAGTAATCAGCCGCTTATTGTATGCACCATATCAGCACTTGTGATACCCCTTCCTGTGACATTGTACAGTAAGTTACATGTATTATTCTCTACATAGGATTGAGGGTCGGGAACGACAAGGAGGAAGGGGGCCCATATTCACGCAAGAACAAGAGAGAGAGATAATAAACATGGTTTTGGCCAATAATGCTATCAGGCTCAGAGAACTACAAGCAAACATTATCGGTGACCATGCCATTTTCAATAATGTCCATCAGGTCTCTCAGTCAACACTGGCACGCATCCTGAAAAGACATCAGGTTCAAATGAAACAACTTTATCGAGTGCCTTTTGAGCGGAATTCAGAGAGGGTCAAACGGCTGCGGCATGAGTATGTGGAGGTTTGTATTGTTCACTTTAGCACTGTGATGTTGCATACTCCACACATTACTTTTTTACATTGACTGTAATATACTAGACCTATCCTGAACTACACAATGTTGTCTTTCACTGTATTTCAGAGAGTTTTGCAGATGGATGCTGAGGAAATCCTGCATGAATTCATATATATTGATGAGGCAGGGTTCAACCTCACAAAAGCAAGAAGGAGAGGCAGAAATATCATTGGCCACAGGGCTATAATCAATGTCCCAGGGCAACGTGGGGGTAACATCACCCTTTGCGCTGCCATTTCACAGCATGGGGTTCTCCTCCGTCATGCCAAAATGGGCCCTTACAACACACCTCACATTCTCGCATTTTTGGACCGATTGCACCACATCGTCACAGCAGGTAATGAAATGCACCAGATACAATACACTGTCATCTGGGACAATGTGTCATTCCACCGCTCTGCTTTGGTCCAGAACTGGTTTCAACACCATCCACAGTTGACAGTACTATACCTTCCACCATACTCTCCGTTTCTAAACCCTATCGAAGAGTTTTTCTCTGCATGGCGGTGGAAGGTTTACGATCTCCAGCCCCAGGCTCAGGTACCCCTCATTCAGGCCATGGAGGACGCCTGTGACCAAGTCGACGCCGCAGCTGTGCAAGGATGGATTCGACATTCAAGACGGTTCTTCCCGCGTTGTCTTGCTAATGAGGATATTGCTTGTGATGTTGATGAAATTCTCTGGCCAGATCCAGCTAGGCGAAGAGATAGTGTATAGTATGTTTACTGTAGTATTTTCTGTACAATATTGTCAGTTTTTTCAGATTATTTTTTATGTTTGTTGTTGTTGTTGTTTACTGTAATTGTAACCTGTACTGGATACAGTATTTTACGTTTGTCTGTTGTTTGCTGCGCTAACAGTGTTATGCACACTACTGTAGTTGCATGACAACTGGGACATGTTTTGTTGTGATTCTCCATGTTGACTGATTTGGGTATATGGATAGAAATCAATGATATTTTCGTCAGTCTGCAGCATTGGTCTTGTGTAGTGTTTGGTGAACTATTGTATAGTTGCACTTTCTCTGTGTACTTCATTTACAGTACTCTAATCACTGAGAATTAGACTTGCTAAAAGTGTTTTAGGTTAGCAACAGCAGTGTGTAACTGGTTCAAAAAGATTAAAGTCATATGAAATGTGTGTGTTTCGTATGGTAACAAAATATTGTTTTTATAAAGTTGTGTATAGTTTTGACAAAAGTGTTCCATTTTGCAAATGATCTGAAGTGTTGTGCTACTTTGGTGTAGGGTTGTGTTAATTGTGTGTAGTGTTTTGAAAAACCGGGCCCTGTTTTCAAAATTGTGCTTAAGCAATCGTAAAAAACTGTAAGTACTGAGTAATATTAATTAACTACATACTTACTATATGGTTAGGGTTAGGATTAGGGTTTGGTTTAGGCTTACTGTTATGTAATTATGCATAATTTATTGTTAACATCTAATTCTAAATAAGAACAAAAACTATAATAATATATTCAGTATGATGCTAAAATAACCCAAAAAATGCAAAAATATAAAACTGACATCTCATTCAAAATATAAATATAAACCTAGAATTATATAAATGCTGCTAAAATAACACAAGTGACAGCAAAAATATAAAACTAACATCTAATTCAAAATATGAACAAAAACTATAATAGTGCATCAGCTGGTGTTTTGTGTGCAGTTCCTCTCCCGGCCGCAGGAGGCGATCATCATCCAATCAGCGCCGTGCTCCGCCTGTGTTTCTGTCACGTGCGCGCAGCGTGAGTTTGTGATGATGAACGGATGAGACGCTGTCGGGATTCAACGCTCGGTTTAGCGAGTCTGATTATGTGAGGGAATTATCATATCGGTCTTCTCTTTAGTATCTGATCAGAGCGTGTAATGATGAGGAAGCAGCAGACGTTCAGCCGCGGTCTGTCCGATAAAGTCCGCAAATCTAAAGCGGCTCCGGAGATCCAGAAAAACCCGTTCGAGGTGAAGATAAACCGCAAGAAGTTCGATGTTTTGGGCCGCAAGAGTAAACACGACGTGGGTCTGCCGGGGGTCTCCAGATCCAGAGCCATTCAGAAGGTAAAACACGGTGATGTTAGTGTTTGTGGACGTTTACTGTGTAAATACTGTCGTGCGATGACGTCACTGTAACGCTACATTATTCTTTTGGGTCACACTTTATTTTAAGGTGTCCTTGTTACAGTCTAATTATACATTAAGTACTGAGCAATATTAATTAAGTTACATGTACTTACTATAGGGTTAGGGTTTGGTTCAGGGTTACTTGCATGCAATTATGCACAATTAATTGTTATTTTAATAGTAAGTACATGTCACGTGTAACAAGGACACCTTAAAATAAAGTGTTACCTTCTTTTGTTATGATTAATATACACTACCATTCAAAAAAAAGTTTTTGAACAGTGATATTTGTAATGTTTTTTAAGGAAGTCTCTTCTGCTCACCAAGCCTGCATTTATTTGATCAGAAATACAGCAAAAGCAGTACAATTTTGAAATATGTTTACTATTTAAAATAACTGCTTTCTACTTGAATATATTTCAAAATGTATTTTATTCCTGTGATTTCAAACCAGAATTTTCAGCATCATTACTCCAGTCTTCAGCGTCACATGATCTTCAGAAATCATTATATTTTGATTTTTTTTCAGGTTTCTTTGATGAATAGAAAGTTCAGAAGAACACTATTTATCTGAAATAGAAATCTTTTGTAACATTATAAATGTCTTTATAATCACTTTTGATCAATTTAAAGCATCCTTGCTAAATAAAAGTATTAATTTCTATAATTTCTTTCCCAAATATATATATATATACTGCTTTTGATTTCAGATAGATGCTGATCTTCTGAACTTTCTATTCATCTAAGAATCAAAAATGTACTCAACTGTTTTAAATATTGATAATAATAATACTACTAATAAATGTTTCTCGAAGAGCAAATCAGCATATTTATATTCAAATAGAAGGCAGTTATTTTAAATAGTTGAAATATTTCAAAAATTTACTGTTTTGCTGTACTTTGGATCAAATAAATGCAGGTTTGGTGAGCAGAAGAACATTAAAAATCTTACTGTTCAAAAACTTTTTTTTGACTGGTAGTGTATATCGAATAAAACCCTACTAAGATGGAGTGTGTGTTTGATTCCTCAGAGGAAGGAGACTCTCCTGAAGGAGTTCAGAGCGAAAGACAAAAACAACAAGTTCATCGACAGACGCTTCGGTGAATATGACCAAAAAATCACACCTGAGGAGAAGATCCTGCAGAGATTCACGCTGGAGCGACAGGTGACACATCACATTCACCTGTAACAATAACTACAACTGTAACATATGTAACGATAACTGTAACTATAACTATACCAACATTTGTAACAATAACGACAGCTGTAACGATAACTACAGCTGTTATTATAACTATAACGACAACTCTAACTATAACATCTGTAACAATAACTATAACGACAGCTGTAACTATAACTTCAACTGTGATAATAACTATAACATATGTAACGATAACTGTAACTATAACTATACTAGGGCTGTCAAAAAAAAATTTAAAATTTCGAATATTCGTCAAATTTAAAATAAAAATCCACATTCAAAATCCAGAATTTTAGGTGTGCATCAAGCAGCTTTATCAGCGGCGCACGAGATGCGATGACGATGTAAGTGTCGTTGATAATGTTTTTGTTTGTCTATCCAGTTGATGCGGCGCTGCTGCGTTGTTCATTAAAAATATTGCGGGAAAAGATAACGTCAATGCAGAGATGATGTTGTTTACGTTAAAACTGAAACCAAGCCGTTCACACAGAAAGCATATTTCGCGCATTTTCTAGAGGGACATCTCTCTAGAATGCATCACCGTTGCACTCGCGTCTCGCACAAAAGAGCCGCATGTTTAGAAAGCCATGTAAAATTAATGTAAGTTCAACTTTGAAAAAAACATATCTCGAGACTTTATGGCGGGGTTTTTTCCCTCCCCCCCCCTCTCTCGTGTTTTTAAATGAAAAATGTACTCTGTGTGATATGTTATCTTATGCTTTGAATGAACGTGCATTAGTAATATTTTGCTCGATGCGCCCTCTTGTGGCCTCAGGAGAGAAGCCAAAAGCTTTTCTTCACCCTAACTGAAATTATGCATTTTAAATTCGAATATAATTCACATTTTGATAATAGTACAAAAGTATAGTGTAAAAGTACAAAATTCGAATTTAGTTTTTCAGCCATTTTGACAGCCCTAAACTATACCAACATTTGTAACAATAACGACAGCTGTAACGATAACTTTAACATCTGGAACGATAACTACAACTGTGACAATAACTATAACGACAACTGTAAATATAACATCTGTAACAATAACTATAATGACAGCTGTAACGATAACTATATCTAACCATAGCTGTAACAGTAACTAAAACATGTAACAATCTGTAACATGTTACAATATCTGTAGCATGTACTGCAGAATTACTGATCATCACTGATGGGTGTGTGTGTGTGTCTCTGTGTGTGTGTGTGTCTCTCTGTGTGTGTGTGTGTGTGTGTAGCGCACTCAAGACAGGAAGGACATGTATAATCTGAATGAGGAAGAGGAGCTGACCCATTATGGCCAGTCTCTGGCGGAGATGGAGAAGATGACAGATGTGATCGACAGCGACAGCGACTCTGAAGAAAAGGGCCTGCTGTCAGGTGATGCATTTAAACATGAATGATCATCACTTATCAATAGTCATTCATTGTTACGGTCAGTAACTGATGTGATGATGGATGTGTCTGCAGCTGAACTGACCGCCACACATTTCGGCGGCGGTGGAGGTTTGCTGAGGAAGAAGAGCGCTGGAGATGAAGACGAAGAACACAAGCCCAAATCACGGCAGGAGCTGATCGAGGAGCTCATTATCAAATCCAAACAGGAGAAGGTCAGAAAGTGTTTCCTCAAATAATAAAATGTTACTTTACTGTGATTAAACATCATCCTGTCTCATCCTTAAACATCATCACACCAATAACTGTATATCTATAAGGATAGCTGTATAATAACTATAACAAAATCTATAATAGCTATAACGATAACTGTGATAGTTGCAACTATAACTGTAACAATAAGGATAGCTGTAACAATAATTATAACAATAGATATAACTATAAGAACAGCTGTAATGTTAACTATAGCAATAGCTATAACTATAACAAGAGCTGTAACAATAACTGTAATGGTAGCTTTAACAATAGTTGTAATAATTATATATATATATATGTATATATATGTTGTAGCTATAATGACAGCTGTAACGTTAACTATAATGATAAATGTAATCACTATAAATGTAATAACTATAAACAACAATTATACAATAATTATAACAGCTGTTACAATAGCTGTAATGATAAAAACATCTGTAATTATTACTAACAACATCTGTAACGATAACTGTATCAACATCTGTAACAAGTATACCGATATCTAATGACAGCTGTGACAATAACTTTAACAACATATGTAACAATAACTATAATGACAGCTGTAACAGTAAATACAATGACAGCTGTAACGATACATTTAGCAACAGCTGTAACAATAACTACAACTGTGATAATAACTATAACATCTGTAACAATAACTGTAACAGTAACTATAACTATACCAACATCTGTAACATTAACAACAGCTGTAACGATAACTTCAACTGTGATAATAACTATAGCATCTGTAACAATAACTGTAACTATAACTGTACCAACATTTGTAACAATAACTGTAACTATAACTCACACACACACACACACACTCACTCGCCATAACAAACCTTAAAATCAAAAAACAAACCTGGAGCACAAAACCAGTCATACGGCTACATTTTTTAAAATTGAGGTTTATGCATCATCTTAAAGTTGAATAAATAAGCTTTCCATTGATGTATGGTTATTTGTAACAATAACGACAGCTGTAACGATAACTTTAACATCTGGAACGATAACTACAACTGTGATTATAACTATAACGACAACTGTAAATATAACATCTGTAACAACTATAATGACAGCTGTAACGATAACTTTGATATGTATAATGAGAGCTGTAATGTTAACTATAGCTAACAATAGCTGTAACAATAACTATAACATCTGTAACAATAATTATATCAACTGTAACGATAACTGTAACATCTGTAACAATAACTATAATGAGAGCTGTAATGATAACTTTGATAAGTATAATGAGAGCTGTAATGTTAACTGTAGCTAACAATAGCTGTAACAATAACTATAACATCTGTAACGACAACTGTAACAATAACTGTAACATCTGTAACAACTAAAATGACAGCTGTAACGATAACTGATAAGTATAACGAGAGCTGTTCCGTTAACTATAGCTAACAATAGCTGTAACAAAATATTTGTAACAATAATTATAACAACAACTGTAACATCTATAACAATAACTAAAATGACAGCTGTAACGATAACTTTGATAAGTATAATGACAGCTGTTACGTTAACTATAGCTAACAATAGCTGTAACAAAATATTTGTAACAATAATTATAACAACAACTGTAACATCTGTAACAATAACTAAAATGACAGCTGTAACGATAACTTTGATAAGTATAATGACAGCTGTAACATTAACTATAGCTAACAATAGCTGTAACAATAAATATAACATCTGTAACCATAACTATAATGACAACTGTAACAATAATTGTAACAATATTTGTAATGATGACAATAAACGATATTATCGTCCACACTTTCCGATGATAATGTTTTGTCGTCTGCCACTGTTACTGCTCAAGCTCTCTAGTTGAGAATATTCTGAATGGCTCTCAGTGTTTTTATCATTCATCAGCTGGAGAAAAAAAAGGTCTAAAAGTGAGTCCAACAATATCGTTCCTCGTTGTTATTGTTATAGTAGTAGAGTTAGAGCGATTATTAAACTTTATGGTTGTGAGCGGTTCTTTAATGCTGACGCTCTTGATGTTCTCAGCGCGAGCGTCAGACGCAGAAGGAGGAGGCGCAGGAGCTCACGGAGAAACTGGATCAGGAGTGGAAATCCATCCAGAACCTTCTGGCCCACAAAACCCCCAAAGCAGAGAGGAAAGACGAGACGGACAAACCTAAGGTACTGAAGCACCTGCGACCAAACACTGAAGCTGTTTCTGAGCGTGTGCTGCTGTCCCTCACTCTGTGACACTGTGTGTGTGTGTGTGTGTGTGTGTGTGTGTGTGTGTGTGTGTCAGCTGGACGAGTATGACATGACTGTGCGAGAGCTGGCTTAAACTACTTCAGTCTGTGTGCATTGAATTTATTTAATACACGAGTTTCACAATTTGAGTTTAATTACTGAAATAAATGAACTTTTCCACGACATTCTAATTTATTGATATGCACCTGTATATATATATACATGATTCTCTCTGTCTGCAGGACGGTAAATGGAACATTGAGGGAGAGGAGAAAGAGGATGATGATGGTGATGAAGAGGGAGGAGAGAAGGAGGATGATGATGGTGATGAAGAGGGAGGAGAGAAGGAGGATGATGATGATGCTGAGGAGGGAGGAGAGAAGGAGGATGATGATGGTGATGAAGAGGGAGGAGAGAAGGAGGATGATGATGGTGATGAAGAGGGAGGAGAGAAGGAGGATGATGATGGTGATGAAGAGGGAGGAGAGAAGGAGGATGATGATGGTGATGAAGAGGGAGGAGAGAAGGAGGATGATGATGGTGATGAAGAGGGAGGAGAGAAGGAGGATGATGATGGTGATGAAGAGGGAGGAGAGAAGGAGGATGATGATGGTGATGAAGAGGGAGGAGAGAAGGAGGATGATGATGGTGATGAAGAGGGAGGAGAGAAGGAGGATGATGATGGTGATGAAGAGGGAGGAGAGAAGGAGGATGATGATGGTGATGAAGAGGGAGGAGAGAAGGAGGATGATGATGGTGATGAAGAGGGAGGAGAGAAGGAGGATGATGATGGTGATGAAGAGGGAGGAGAGAAGGAGGATGATGATGGTGATGAAGAGGGAGGAGAGAAGGAGGATGATGATGGTGATGAAGAGGGAGGAGAGAAGGAGGATGATGATGGTGATGAAGAGGGAGGAGAGAAGGAGGATGATGATGGTGATGAAGAGGGAGGAGAGAAGGAGGATGATGATGGTGATGAAGAGGGAGGAGAGAAGGAGGATGATGATGGTGATGAAGAGGGAGGAGAGAAGGAGGATGATGATGGTGATGAAGAGGGAGGAGAGAAGGAGGATGATGATGGTGATGAAGAGGGAGGAGAGAAGGAGGATGATGATGGTGATGAAGAGGGAGGAGAGAAGGAGGATGATGATGGTGATGAAGAGGGAGGAGAGAAGGAGGATGATGATGGTGATGAAGAGGGAGGAGAGAAGGAGGATGATGATGGTGATGAAGAGGGAGGAGAGAAGGAGGATGATGATGGTGATGAAGAGGGAGGAGAGAAGGAGGATGATGATGATGCTGAGGGTGAAGAAGAAGACGAGGAGGGTGGTGAGGATGCTGATGATGAAGATGCAGATGATGATCACTGTGACCTGCAGTCTGATGAGGGCAGTGAGGATGAGGACGCTGAGGGCGCTGAGGAAGAGCAGGTCTGTGCTGAAGGGCCTCCAGCAGTGATTGAGGAGCAGAAGAAAGCTGCACAGGAAGCAGCCAAAGCAGAACTGCCCTACACCTTCACAGGTACCGCAGTCACATGATCGTCAGGAACTCACCTGACCTGCTGCTAATGCATGTTTGAATGAATCTGTCGTGAAGACAAGCTTGTTTAGGGGTCAGAGGTCAGTTTAGGAGATGCAGTGGAAGTCTAAGAGATGAGCTCACTAGTGTGTGTCTGTTTGTCTGTGTGTGTCTGTGTGTGTGTGTGTGTGTGTGTGTGTGTGTGTGTGTGTCTCTGTGTGTGTGTGTG